CAAGAGGCTTGCTTTCCCCAGCAATGGAGGAAGACAAGCTTTCTGCCTGCCCTGGCCTACCCTGGCTCTTCTCAAGGCTACTAAGTTTCAATTATAGAAGATAAATAAATCCCAACAAAAATGGCTGCAGCCATGGAGCAAGCAGGAGACTTGGGTTTCCCCAGTGATGGAGGAAGCCAAACTTTCTGGCCTGTGCTCAAGGCTACAAAGTTTCAATATTAGAAGATAAATAAATCCCAGATGCCAGGGCCTCTGCTTGGGTCGCCTGAGTGCGTGGCCGGCCTGCATACCACCACAGGCCCCTCGCCCAGGCTGCCCCATGCCACAAGGAAACCCCCACCCTGATTCAGGACCCCCTTCAGGACAAACCAGCCAGATCCCACCTGGGCTTCTATCCTATCTAATCCTATCTAATAAAAGAGTAATATGCAAACTGACTATCACTCCAACACACAAGATGGCTGCCCCCATGTGGACACAAGATGGCTGCCACAAGATGGCCAGCAGGGGAGGGCAGTTGGGAGGAATCAGGCCTGCAAGGGAGGGCAGTTAGGAGCAATTAGGCTGGCAGGGGAGCAGTTAGGCATCAGTCAGTCTGGCAGGGGAGTGGTTAGGGGGTGATTAGGCTGGCAGGCAGAAGTGGTTAGGGGCATTAGGGACAATCAGGAAGGCAGGCAGGCGAGCAGTTGGGAGCCAGCAGTCCTGGATTGTGAAAGGGATGTCCCAGATTGGAGAGGGTGCAGGCTGGGCTGAGGGACACACCGCCCCCGCCCCCCATGCACAAATTTCATGCACTGGTCCTCTAGTGTTATATAAAGTAATAGAGTTGTAATTTATGTTTCAAAGGGTTTCAGCCAAAAATATTTTCTAAAATTTAACAACAAAACAAAAGATCCTCAAAACTGACATTGTAAATATTAAAATAGTTGAAATGCAGGCCCTGGCCCAGTAGCTCATTGGTTAGAGTGTTGTCCACATTCATCAAGGTTGCAGGTTTGACCCCTGGTCAGGGCACATACAAGAAACAACCAATGAATGCATAAATAAGTGGAGCAACAACTTGATGTTTCTTTCTTTCTCTCAAATCAGTAAATAAATAAAAATTAAAAAAAACAACAACAAACACACAAAACTTCTCCTGAGAATGTCAAGGCAAAACATTAAAAAAATAAAATAAAGATAGCTGAAATGCCTGCCTGATTCTTACATGGCCTCTTCTATGAATCATTATCAGAATTTTTTTATTCCCAGTATTACAGCCGCCCACATAGCATTTCCCACATCAAGAAAAATTCCTCTTTATATCCCCAAAGGGTGTGGAAGCATAATAGTCTTTCTTTAAATTAGAGTATTTTGTCACGATGTAATCTATCAGCACTATTCAGATTAGAAATAGAGAAATCACTAAGTTTCATGCTCTATTTATAAAACTGAACCAAAGTTTCAGTATTAGAAACTGCCTTTTGTAACCTGGCAAGTACAGTTGTTTTTTGCATGTCCCACTTGGTTATTCAACTTATAAACAGCTGTATAGGGAGATAAATGGTTTTAAGTTTGGTTGCTTTCTAAAACAGTCATTTTTCAAGTATAATTTGCTTGTCAAAGAAATATTTTTAGATAGCTACAAAATTTATGTTGTAAACATATAGAAAAAAGACTCTGACTTCTTGAATATTGCTATTCTAATGTCTATCATGGTATGGTTTGTAATCTTACATCCTGTAGACCAAGGTCATTAAACTTTCTGTAAAAGAACAGATGGAAAATATTTTAGGTTTTGCAGGCTACATGTGGTTTCTGTCAATGTTCTTGTGGGTTTTTGTTGTTGTTGTTTATTAATCCCTTTAAAAATGTAAATAACAGCCCTGACCGGTTTTGCTGCATGGATAGAGCGTCGGACTGCAGATTGAAAGGTCCCAAGTTCAATTCCAGTCAAGGGCATGTACCTTGGTAGCAGGTACATCCCCAGTAGGGGGTGTGCAGGAGGCAGCTGATCAATGTTTCTCTCTCATTGATGTTTCTAACTATCCCTCTCCCTTCTTCTCTAAAAAAAAAAAAAAATCAATAAAATATATTTTTTAGAAATGGAAAAAACATTCTTAGCCAGGGTCCATACAGAAATAGGCCACAGGCCATATTTTGTCCTCAGCTATAGAATTTGCTGACCCCTGCTTTAAATCAGTACTGTCCAAAAGAAATATAATTTGAACCATATATGTAATTTTTAATTTTTTAGTAACCATATTGAAAAAGTAAAAAGCAGATGAAATTAATTTTATTGATATATTTAACCAGTTATATCCATGCTATTATTTCAGTAGGTGACACTAGCCAAATTTCAGGGACTCAATAACCACATGTATTAGATAGCACAACTATATACCAGAGCTCCTAAAAGTATGGGCTGTGAATTAATGCCAGAAAGATGATAAGTTAGGTATAGAAATTAAAAGCAAGCATTTAAAATATTTTATAGCAATTTGACAGTTATTTTTATGTCTGTTCAATCTAATAATGCACTTGCATTTCGTGTCTTTTTTACATTTTCTATTTCCAGTAATTTGTTCTTACATCTTTTAGTAAAAAGAGCCAGTGCTCTAGACAGTCTCTCCTAGGATTCTATAGACCTACATGACAAAAATAAAAACATCAGAAATAGTGATGAGATTGTGGCACATAGTTTATTTAGTATTGTTCACACCCTACTTCAGAGCATTGTCCTTTTTTTTTTTTTTTTTTTAATCTTTACCTGAGATATTTTTCCCATTGATTTTTAGAGAGAATGGACGGGAAGGGGAAAGGGAGGGGAAAAAACAAAAACACATCTGATGTGAGAGAGAGAGAGAGAGAGAGAGAGAGAGACATCGATTGGTTGCCTCCTGCATATGCCCACTAAAACCATAGGAATAAAAAAAAAAGCATAAGGAATAAATTCACAAGCAGAAAACAAATGAGAGAAGACAAAAATAGGCCTAATTGATCAAGTTTTTGGTAAAAGCAAGTCACTATAAATTAACAGAGCTGAGAACGGCAATCTAAGCACCTGCAAAATGAGTCTGTTAGAAAGGAGCAAACCAAGTTACACTGCTGGCTCAGAAATTAGAGGACCAGCTCCTTCAGAGGGTAAGGATGAAGTATACGCTGAAACCAGGTATGGTTGAAAGTGTATGCATCAGGCTCCCATGTGTTGTCCTTCATCCTCCGCAGCCAGAAGATCACCATTCCTTTACCTTAAATGAAACCAGAGGTTAGAGCTGGGAGAAACTTAGTCAAGAGGTTTGGGTATAGCTGGAGCTGGGAGAAACTTAGTCAAGAGGTTTGGGTATAGCTGGACCTGGAGAAATTTAATTAAGAGGTCTGGGTACAGCTGGAGCTGGGACAGCTTTTATAAATAAGGACACCTTTGAAAAAACAGGGACTTAAGGTTGAGGTTATTCTCTTGCCCTGTTCTCAGAACATGGCAGTCAGGTATATATGGGGGTTGGCAAAAGTAGGCTTTCAGTTATGAGTACTCACAACAGTTTATTCTTGTATTACTATGTATTAAGTAGTTATATTACTATTATTACTATTATTATTATTATTATTATTATTAACCTACTTTGCCCACCCCTGTATGCTCTAGAGAAGAGATTGGAGCATTTGTCCCTGGGATGAGCCTGCCAGCAGACAGACTTATAGATACTGACTTTTGGGGATAAAAAAATAACTCATTGACTCATTACCTTGTAGTAAAACCAATCAGTTGGCAAACAACTCTCTCAAGTAGACAGAGCTTCTGATTAGCATGTTAATGCTGATGGATAGCCAGGACTCATCAGACAGGGACTTAAGAAGAAAACAGTACTGATAGAAACATAAAAATATTTAAAATGTTAAAAGAAAACTTTTAAAATTTTTGGTATCATTAGTGAAATGAGATATTACAGCCAAGAAATTAAAATAGGATGCTATTAAAAAGAACATCAGAGAGCCCTAGTTGAGTTTGCTCATTGGATAGCGCATCAGCCACTGGACTAACAGGTGCCAGGTTCAAGTCCAGTCAAGGGCACATGCCTGGGTTGTTATCCTCAGTAGGGGGCGTGCAGAAGGCAACCAATTGATGGTTCTCTCTCATCATTGATGTTTCTATCTCCCTCTCCCTTCCTCTCTGAAATCATATATATATATATATATATATATATATATATATATATATATATATATATAATATGTGTGTGTATTAAATAATATATATTAAATAATATATAATATATATATATATATTAAATAAAGAAGAACAGAGAGCAAGAAAATTGTTTTGGAAATTAAAACTGTGATAGAAAAATTGTAACTGAACTAGAAATGTTGGAAAGTGACACCAAGGAAATCTATCAGACAGTAGAAAAGGAAAGGATTATATCTTATAAGATATAATACATTGTAGGGTGGAGAGGGAAGATATGGAATTTTTACAAGTGATTAACTGTAAGCTTTAGGTTGCTAGGTTAGTGGAGTAATAATTGGTAAGTGAAATTGGGAAGATTGCTACGTAAAGGCTTTTAACTAATTTTAATATTTATATAAATGTGGTCCTACTTATAACTTTTGAGAAATTAAATCAGATATGTTTCAATAATATAGACTGATTTTTCCTTTTCATATGGAGGCAAGTACCTAAATTATTCAAAGTAAGGAGACAATGTCATAATGAAATTAGATTGATACATGGGAAAAAGAAACCAGAGTTTAATTGAAAGTGTTTCTTTCCTTTCCCCTGAGTCCTGAATATGTTATCTGAAAGAAAATGGGAAGTGAGGACTAGCTTGAATGAGTGCCACAAATGGCCTGGTAACCTTAACAGCTACCTAGCGGGATGTCTGTCCTATCACTTTAGTAATGGAAGGCGGACTCTTGACTAGTATTGCTGAAATTTTCAAAAAGAGGGGAAGTAGGTTTGCCTTTTCTGTTTTCACACACCAGTTTAACGTATTTTTCTTCTTTCCCTGTTTTGTCTTTAGGTCTTATAATCAATGGATAAAGTGGGGAAAATGTGGAATAACTTCAAATACAGGTGTCAGAATCTCTTCAGTCATGAGGGAGGAAGCCGTAGTGAAAATGTGGACATGAACTCCAACAGATATTTGGCTGTCAGAGAGAAAAGCATCAGTATAGGAGACTCAGCTCCTCAGCAACAAAGCAGTCCCTTAAGAGAAAATGTTGCCTTACAACTGGGATTAAGCCCTTCAAAGAATTCTTCGAGGAGAAACCCAAACTGTGCCACTGAAATTCCTCAGATTGTTGAAATAAGCATTGAAAAGGACAACGATCCATGTGTCACCACAGGATCAAGACTTGCAAGAAGAGATTCCTACTCTCGACATGCTCCGTGGGGTGGGAAGAAGAAACATTCCTGTTCTACAAAGACTCAGAGTTCACTGGATACTGATAAAAAGTTTGGTAGAACTCGTAGTGGACTTCAGAGGAGAGAGAGGCGATACGGCGTAAGCTCCGTACATGACATGGACAGTGTTTCCAGCAGAACTGTAGGTAGTCGCTCTCTGAGACAGAGGTTACAGGATACCGTGGGCTTGTGCTTTCCCATGAGAACTTATAGCAAGCAGTCAAAGCCTCTCTTTTCTAATAAAAGAAAAATACACCTTTCTGAATTAATGCTTGAGAAATGTCCTTTTCCTGCTGGCTCAGATTTAGCCCAAAAATGGCATTTGATTAAACAGCATACAGCCCCAGTGAGCCCACATTCAACGTTTTTTGATACATTTGATCCATCCTTGGTTTCTACAGAAGATGAAGAAGATAGACTTAGAGAGAGAAGACGGCTTAGTATCGAAGAAGGTGTTGATCCCCCTCCCAATGCACAAATACATACATTTGAAGCCACTGCACAGGTTAACCCCTTATATAAACTGGGACCAAAGTTAGCTCCTGGCATGACTGAAATAAGTGGGGACAGTTCTGCAATGCCACAAGCTAACTGTGACTCCGAAGAGGACACCACCACACTGTGTTTGCAGTCACGCAGGCAGAAGCAACGCCAGGTATCTGGAGATAGCCATGCCCACGTTAGCAGACAGGGAGCTTGGAAAGTCCATACGCAGATTGATTATATCCACTGCCTTGTGCCTGATCTGCTTCAGATTACAGGCAGTCCCTGCTACTGGGGGGTGATGGACCGCTATGAAGCAGAAGCCCTTCTTGAAGGGAAGCCTGAAGGCACCTTTTTGCTCAGGGACTCTGCACAAGAGGACTACCTCTTCTCGGTGAGCTTCCGTCGCTACAACAGATCCCTGCATGCCCGAATCGAACAGTGGAATCACAACTTTAGTTTTGATGCCCACGACCCATGTGTATTTCACTCCTCCACTGTAACGGGACTTTTGGAACACTATAAAGATCCCAGTTCTTGCATGTTTTTTGAACCTTTGCTTACTATCTCACTAAATAGGACTTTCCCTTTTAGCTTGCAGTATATCTGCCGTGCAGTCATCTGCAGATGCACTACGTACGATGGAATTGATGGGCTCCCTTTACCATCAATGTTGCAGGATTTTCTAAAAGAGTATCATTATAAACAAAAAGTTAGAGTTCGCTGGTTAGAGCGAGAACCAGTCAAGGCAAAGTAAATTCTCCTGTCCTAGTCTGCTTTTATGTGCATCAGACAGTACACCTATAGCAAGCACACATATCAGTGTTAGGTTTTTTCAGTATAGTATGTAAGCTTAGTGTTAGTATCTGTCAGAGGTGTTAGTATCCGTCCGATGTGATCTGCTGTTACTCAGAAAAACATGGTGGCTATTGAGACAACAGAAGATAGAACTGAGGTGTTCAGTAAGGCTACAAAAATAGTTTGCCAATTTAGCTGTTTGGTTTTTAATGGCTGAAGTTATTGAATGAGTCAATTCTGAGGCATTTGCTATTAAGAATTCTATTTCTTACTAAAGAACAAATTGTTAATTTTGGATGAGTTTTTCAACAGTGTGACTAATGATTGAAATTATTTTTTTCTAAGAATTTTTCTATTACCTTCTAAAAGTAGTGATGTTTGTAGTTACTACAAATCAAGCTTTGGAAGTCCAAAAAGTAAAGACTGCCTTTCTTTTAAAAAAATAAAAAAATAAATGCAATTTTTTGGCCACAAGGGCATAGTGCAGTTCACTTAATTGTTGATATAATTTATAGTTAGTTTTTTCTCTTCTGCAAAAGGTACTGTTAAGGAAACCAGTTTTTCTTAAAATTTCAGACTTATAAAGTTGATAGGAGAATTTTATTTATAAGCCTTAGGTGTTAATTTTTTAATGAGTACTTTAACTTAAAACATATTGGGAATAGCTGCTGCAATTTAGTCCTGTGTGTGATGTTTAAAGTTGACATATGCAGTCTAATTGTTGATTTATTAATGTTGCATCTTTTCCTATGCCCATGACAAGTTTGTGAACCATGAAGAAAATGAGACTAGACGATGTCCAAACAAGTCAGAAATAATAACGACAGTGATTGCTAATGTTGAAGTTATTGTTAAACTGTAATAATTTGGATGGCAGTATTTATCTCTTTGTTGTAAATGCTCATTGATGAATTGCTTAAAGTACGATTTATAGAATTTCAATGGAATTGAAAGAATTTCATTTTTAATGGAAAATCTGAAATCTAAGTTGCAGATTTAAAAGGTACTGTACAACCATTGTATCTGTAAATAACTTAGCACCTTTTTGTCACTTAGAATAGTATGCAATACTACTTGAGTGAGCTATTTTGGAAGTAATAGCAAGTTCTAGTGTTTGCTTCTTACTTTGAACTGAATTTCCAATTCTGTCCTAGACATTTTGCACTAAAGTAGTGGAATCCATTCTTGTGTCTTTTTGTTTATGTGCTCTGTACCACTGGTGAGTGCTCCTTAGTTCCCTTACCTGCTGCCACAGAAAGTTATTTTACATCCTGATGGCTTATTGCCAAGGCTACAAAAAAGAAAAGCTATATTTGTATGCAACACTAACCCTTTTCCTGCTAATGTATGTTTCTCTGCTTGCTGTGCCTTGTTATGGCTGCTTTTTTGTGCTAATAAAGTATGTTTGGTGTTCTTCTTGTATATCTACTGTTTTATACATTTGCAACAATTTCTCTTGTAAATGGAATGAATTGGGTTTTTAAATAAGCTTTACCTGACAACCTACTATAGTCAATGCAGAATTACTGTACAATCTAATATTGATTTATTCTGACTAAACTAACTCTAAATGCAATGCTATACATCTTTCCAATCATCACATATACTGTGCAACACTATAGTTACTGCAAATTACTGTGCAGTTCAGATTGTAACAGAAAATGAACAGAGAAATATTGACTAAACCTGTTGATTTCTCTGCTTTTAAGTGGGAAATAGAAACTGCCAATGACATGTCACAGTAAGTATTTCTAGCCTCCCACTACACCAGAAACAGGTTAAAAGAAGTCTTGAAAACTAATACATCAGCGCCATTTATTGGTTAGGGGACCATTTTAATTAACAAATGCCTGAAATGTAGAACTTTAACCAAAGATTTGTCCATTTTAAAGCAAAATGGGAATTGAAGGAACTTATAATTCCTGTTATTTCAAATAGAAGTCCCTGAAGAACATATACCAAAGTGTTGGAGAACTTCATCCAAACCTACTTTACAGCATTATGTGCAATTAAGTTGTTATGACATAATTATATTGCATAATTGTTGGCTTCATTTTCTCGAGCTTATTATGTACCTGGAAAATAAACCTCTTGGAAATGAAAAGTTCTTACTGCTTTTTGGAGACGGACTATATGTGCAAGCAAGATCTTGCTTTAAAGAGATAACTTGAAACTCCAAGAAAGCACTTGATGTTTTATATGCTTGTAGCAAATCAATGTTCTAATTGTAGTTTTATAGAAAGTATTAATGCATTTATGTATTTCAGAACTTTATATGTTAAATGGAAATTGTTTTAAATGTGTAAATATTTGAGTTTCTGTAAGCATGTATACACTGTGCTAAAAGTCACTTATGTTTCAGTTTGTGTGTAATATTAATATGCAACTTTTGGTTTAAAATTTTTTTCTTGAAATATTAGTGGCTTACATTTTAAAAAAGAAAAATCACCAGCATGAAATTGCACTGAAGTCTATATTCACTGTGTCTTTTTCTGAATCCCATTGTAGTCTGTCAACTAAATTTGTGTTTTTATGGTCTTTTTTGAAGTGTATTTTAATACAAATGAGGAAATTCTTTAAATAAGTTTAGATACATCTTCACAATGAACTAATTAACCAAAAGACAAATTGCTCTGATTCACATATATTCTCATTCTTTCACTCATTCACTTGTTCATTCTCTTTGTATATGCATACATGTACACAGACAGACAGATATTTGTGGTGTTAATATTACTTTAAACAATATTGCCATCTGATTTTAAGTCATTTAGAGGCCTTATTCCATGTATATGTGCATTTACGTGTGTGGGAGGCGGGTAATAAAAGCCAAGTGACCAGAATACCAGAACGACTGGTTGCTTTGACCCACACTGCAGCCCCTTTGGCCCCTCCCCCCAGCTGGGCCAGCCCCAATCAGCCCCAATCAGGGCAAGCCAGCCGGCCTCCACCCATTCACAAATTCGTGCTCCGGGCCTCTAGTATATATATATATAAATTTTTATTTTATTTTAACGTTTAAAAGTAACACACACTCATTCTGACAGCCTCACCAGGTTTCACTACCCAATAAGTTACACACACACACTCAGGTACTTGGAAAGTTCATTTTTTAAATGATTGAGTGAAGGCAAAGGGGCCACTGTGCCCACAGTCAGCTCAGTTCACCTTCCATAAGGATAACTTGCTGGAAACGATTGTGGGGCAGTTGCATTTGAACCTTGTTCCAGATTATGAAACCAGTGAAGGTAGCACGATTCTCGTGGCTACTTTACTTCAGAGTGTCATGTTTATTGAAGTTAAACTTTTTTAATAGGTGAGAGAAGGTGGGAGCTAAGGTGGACTGGGTGGTAGTCATAGGGAGAAGTCAGAAGTCATTGTCTTTTGGTGGTAAAGCCAAAAGGATTTGGTGATGGATTCTATGTGAAGAAGAAATCAGACACCAATTTTTGACCTGAGCAAGAGTGGTGATGCCAATAGCTACAATTTCAGAAAAACAGTGAAAGAGCAAATTTGAGGGTATCTTTGATATGCTCAGTTTTGAAATTCTTATTAATTACCCCAATGGAGACACTGTGTAGGCAATTGGATGTATGAATGTAGAGTTAAAGGGGAAGTAAAATCTGAAGATTCACTAGATAGATAGTATTTAAAACCATAGGACAGGAGGGCAACAGCTAGGGGTTTTGCATGGAGTAAAGCATTTCTTTGGGGGAAGTAATTATGACAACATTTATCTTTGGACAATTCAAGATTCTGCAAAATTAGGTGTGTTTTTTAAGCTAACTACTTTTAATAGGAGACTCAAATTTTTAGAATACTAGAATCATAACCTTGCATTCACTGTTAATACTTTTCCATGTCAAATTTGGTTGTCATGGCTTCTATGTCAAGTTTACTTCTGTATTTTTAGTACAAATTTTTACATGAGAGATACAAATTCATTATGGAATAGTTAGAAAGTACTAAAAGTATAAAGAATCAGTACCAAAAAGGAAAAAAACCTCCATATTATCTCTTTCTCTACTATCAGCAACTCTAGTCCTCCTCCCAATTCCCATTTTGTAGTCTTCCAATAGTAACTGTTATTGACATTTATTTCCTTCCACCATTTTCCATGCATTTTAACAGTTAAGAGATCGAAGTTTATAAAATAATAGAGGCCCCCAATCCCACAGGCCACTGCCCTCAGGAGGGCACCAGATGCAGGGCTCCTGGCTGGGGAGCACTGCTGCGGCAGCTCGAGCGTCTCCCCATTGAGACTGATTGAGCGTGAGCCCGTGGCAGGCACAGTGGGGCTGGGATGAGCAGGGACGGCAGGTAGGAGCTGCAGGCAGCATTGAACTCTGGTTTTCAGTCTGATCACCACAGGCCATCCAGAGGGGACCCACCCATGCACGAATTCATGCACTGGGCCTCTAGTAAAAGTATAATGATGCAAGCCAAAACCAGTTTGGCTCAATGGATAGAGCGTCGGCTTGGGGACTGAAGGGACCCGGGTTCGATTCCGGTCAAGGGCATGTACCTTGGTTGCGGGCATATCCCTGGTAGGGGGTGTGCAAGAGGCAGCTAATCGATGACTCTCTCTCATTGATGTTTCTAACTCTCTCTCTCCCTTCCTCTCTGTACAAAAATCAATAAAATATATTTTTAAAAAAATAATAATGCAAATATGTGGAAATAGACCAAGCAAAGAGTAATTAAACAAAAACTGGCTGCATGCTTGATATGGAAAAACAGAAACATGAGTAGAAACAGGGTGATTTGGTGTCTTGGATTTGTTTCATCACAAGAATGTCTAAGAATTTGACTTAGCAGAAGATGGAGAAGATGGGGAAATACAGTGGTAAGTAGCATGCATTTGGATCAGACTCTATAATGACTCATTGCAAAATAAAAGCTGAATGTTTTTTAAATTTTTGTCTTCTATCATAAAAGCGAAAATCTTCTTAGGATATATTTCAGTTAGCAAAAATAGGTACTACTGTAGGTCTCATAAAAGCAAAGTGGTGTAATGTGAATATCTGAAAATACCTCTATTTAAAGTTACCCAGAGTTAAACATTCTATTAAAAGTAAAAGATTGATAACATGCCATATCTGAGACATTTAAAAGTTGTTTCTGAGTAAATTTCCTACAAAAAATATAAATTATCTACCTGAATAACCAGAACGCAGGGCCCTGGAGTGATAAAATCAAATGAACACATCTATTCCCCAACCCTCCCACCCCCACACTTCCTTTATTTGTTTCCCCAACTTGTTTTCATACCTAGTGTTCGAATTATCTTCCTTTTTTGTAATTTGATATTTTTTAAGCACACATGCTTTTTTTCACAGTCCTTCAGGTAGCCTCTAGTGAATTCCAATACAAAGAAGATAGTTGGATAGATAGATGATTAGATAGATAAAATAAATTGCTTTTATACCAACACCTTAAAGCTATTTAGAACTTTTAGGAAAGCCGTGAAAGAATGCTGCACTGGAAATGGAGAAGTACTCAAAAACATGGTATCATGTTTTCAAATGGCTTGGGATTACAGTCTCAGTTCACTGAACCGAACCTCTGGTGGGCAGGTGTAGGATTACTATGTCTTCAATTCTTATTAAATGAGGGCAGAGACCCAAGGGGACTCATGATCAGGTAGGAATGGATGAAATAGGGATTGTGTTCTAACTGGTTCTATGGGCTCAAAGCTATCCATCCAGATAGCTTTAAAAGAAAGACAACGACATAACTAATATGGAGGCCTTCCTGTGGTGAATGGAGAAATCCATGGATAATTCACAGAACAAATGAATGCCTTAGGAAACACTCAGGCAATAGTCTCTTGCCATTGGAAGTAACTATATCTGTGAAACTACAGGTCCAAAGCTATATGCTACTGAAAGTCATCTTTTCTAGTGGAAACCAATGACTTTGAAGAAACATCATATGAGATTTTAGGAGTTGGTTGCAGGGGAGTAGCAGACCTGGGTTAAAGTTAGGAGACTTGGCCCCCACTCAGGTCATCTTGGTCAAATCACGGTATCTCTTGGCCTTCCTTTTTTTCTTGTCAAAAAGAAAATATCTGCCTATCTCACAGAATCATAATTTGAAAATCATCTCAGATAAGAAATGGCAGATATATCACCAATCGTTTTCAGAGCTCTATGGCATTTGGAAAAAATAGCATTTTGTAATTTGTATGTATGAGTTAATACAAGACAGGGATTTATTCAAAACTAGAGACAAAGTGTGCAAAATCACACAACACGCAAAGACACCCCCCGACCCCCGTGCCGCAGGACCCAGAACCCCTTGTGCCAGGGAACCCCAGACTCCCTCCACCACACCGCCATGGGCAGGACCCCAGACTCCGCCATGCTGCTGCGGACGGGACCCATCAATGCACCTCCAGGTGACCTGTCATTTGGTCGTTATGGCATTACGGGCACAGGTCTTTTATAATAGAGAATTTTTAAGTTAAGAAAGTTGTTCTTTACATAACATTTTTCTTCAGATAAACTCAAACTTCATAGCTGTGTAGCTGTTGTCAAATTGCCTGGGTTGTGCTACAGTTCAGCTACCTACTAACCAGTTTGTTTCTTAACTCTTCTCATCTGCCTCCTCTACCTACCTCACTGTGGTGAACAAATACTGTGCTAAATAATCTTTGAGAAGTGCCTGGCACATCATAAGTGCTCAATACATGTTGTTATTGTTTTCTTT